GTCACAGCCGTATCTGGCTAACATTTTTCCATAATTATTTCAAGAATTTAATCAGTCCCTTCTCTGCCTGGATTTTCCAATGAGAAGTAATTTAAATGAGAGTTTCAAACTTATGTTTTCTATTTCTGTGGGTTTAAAAATTGCAGCCGTTTCAGCGAGGAAACTGTATACATTGCGGAAAGTTTTCATTCTCGTGGTAATTCAAGATTTTTCTATAGGGGGTTGGGAATGGGGGGGTAGAGGTTGCATCAATTAGTGGAGGTTGCGTCTTTGCATCTTGTCTCGTAATTCTAAAACAATTGAAATGAAATAAATATCATCGTAGACTCCGTATTTAATCCTTATTCTTAGAAAATTTGTCAGGATCTTTCGAAGCAGGTCATTTAAAGCAATGTTCTCTTTGTACTATTCGGCTAATGCATTAATGTCCTCTGTAATGATGATTAAATTCATGCATTTCCATTAATTGAATTTCATAATTTTAGTTTAAAATTTTAAAATTAAAACCCACATTGTACATGAGCATGGAACTCATATCTGATTGAAGTTTCAAAAAAGAAATACTGAATTGGCGCATTTTTTATAGAATTTATGAAATAAAATCTCCTTCCAATTAGTTGGCTTGACCAACGTACATGAAAATATCGTACGCAAATTGCTTTGCGCAGGCTGAATACTAGCTGTATGAAAAATAAACTTTCAAAAAATCTTCACCTGCTCGTGGAACATGCTTGTGTTACCGCAAGCCACCATGATTGTCCGTTTGTTGGGTATCTTGTCTCTAAGTTAGATCTTATTCGTGATTGCACATATCAAAGATTGGCAAAAACTAGAGTCCCATGAATCCTAACCGACTCGCTGCTATTTAAAATTGCCTTGGTCCAGACCTTGGCCTGGTGTTAAAGTGATGCGGCGGAGGGGTGACAATTAAGGCTTTGGATTATACGGGTTTGTTCTCAATAGAGTCTATTATATATAGACCGACTCGGCTCAGCGTGGTATACGAGTATATATACGATCATCACTCGTGATGAGGAAAAACAAGAAAAACAAGATAACCATGTTGCATGTTTGTCCTATTTGTTCCGAATTGTTTCAAATTAATGACGTCCAAAGCACTTGAATATTGAATCATAAGTAATCCATCAACTATTGTACATGATTGTTTCAACATGATTCATTTATTGTTGCGCGGACATATTTGGAACATGCATGGAAACTGTGATGCAGTAATCAAATTCACCAGGTCAATCTTTCAACTGTTTATTTGTTATTTTGGTATCGTGCTCTGTTTTTTAATTGTTTTGGCTGCTTTTATTGACTTTGATTGAGTCTTCTACTTTCATTGACATCGATTGATTGACTTTGATTGAAATTTCTCATGAACTGCTTTCATTGTCTTTGATTAAATCTTCTTTGTTGATGTTAACTTAATTTTTTTCGTGCATACCCAGTGTGCACGACTATGAGTGACGACAGTGCTCAACGACGATTTCCTGGCTCATCGCTTCTCTTCAATAAAATTTGGTTTGTTATTTGTTGAGTAAGGTGCACCGAATATGTTCCTTCGTGAAAGTAAAAACTCGTTCTCCTTGCGCAGAAATGCAGTCCAATTGCCACGGTGGGATGAGTCTTGTGAGGGCCGGCAGCGCTGTAAATGCTTCCTCTTATCGGCGGCAAAAAAAGCTGTTCTCCCGCGAGCACGCTAAACAAGAGCGATATGTGCTGGTACATAACTTCGGGTGCTTTAATTTAGCGTTCATTCTTTTCAAGAGCATTCTAGACGACTGAAATTTTCTACTTTCTAAACATACACCATTCATTTCTCGTGTAGCCGATTTCCAACTTACCTGCAGTTACCTCTTCAACACGTGTATATACGCGGTCGCTGCGAAATCGCGAAAGTAAGATGCGTGTTTGCCTCTTCCGAGCGTTCGAGTGCTCGCTCTGCTTACCGAGCGTTGGGTGAAAAGGTTATTAGGGAGGAGGTGGAAGAGGGGAAGGCGGGGAGGATTGAATGGGGCTTTTGGTGAACGGATAAAAAAGGTCACGTTGGGATCTGCGGTCTGTGGTTAGAGGAAATTATTGACGCTCGCACCGTGGCAGTCGCTGTCGTCTGCAGAATATGGACGACCAGAGCAGGTGTTGCTCGTAGTTCAGAGGTATGTATGCTTGGTGTTTCATTTACCTGGGTTCTAGTTACAGATCCAAGTTGAGCTCTTGTAAATACTACTGCATTTGTAATGTGTTCATGTTAAATAGTACATCCGTCTCATGTTCTTGCCGGATAGAACTTCATCTGTGTTGTCTTCATGTTAGATAACACCCCATCCGTGTTGTGTTCGTGTTATATAGGATGACGTCTTTCAAATTTGCACTACATCTGAGTTGGATGCAACCTTAGTTCCAAATGTATCACTTTTAATTTATGTTCACTGTATGAATTTCATAATAAAATCGCTGAAAAACGACACTTCTAGTATTTACTGCCTGATTCAGAGTTTAAAAAATAGAGCTTAAGTACTCGGATAAAATTTTCGAAGATGATCATTGTGCAGATTAGCTTTATTGTCGGGATGAATTCTATTATAGTTACTAGACTAGAATTGTTAATGGCAAGGCAAACGTGTTATTTTGCTCTGAACGCTGCCTGGATTACTTTTATGTTCGTGGCATCAGAACAGAATTGCTGGAGATTTAACCCCTCGACTGCAGGCTTCACAGATCATTTGCATTGACCGCGAGCGCGAGGGAAGCTCTAGGAATCTGCGAGGAACGCATCTCATTCTTTGCTGCTGACGACGTCACTATATAAAAGACGCACGAGCGTGGTGATGTCACGGAGGGACGTGCGGAAGAAGATAGTGACGTCACAAAAAAGACAGAGAAGAACGTAATTACGTCACCGTGTAATGTATAGACGATGATAGTGACGTCAGTGAGGGATGTGCGGACGAAGATAATTACAACACCATAAAAAACGTACGGTGGAGCGGAGTGACGTTTCTGAGGGACGTGAGAGAGAGGGTAGCTAGTGACTGCAAATAATGAAATTAGAACGAAAGTAGCGGCGTAACTGAGAGACGTGTGGACAAGTGTAGTGATGTAAATGACGAGCGTAACTGAGAGACGTGTGGACGAGTGTAGTGATGTAACTGACGAGCGTAACTGAGAGACGTGTGGACAAGTGTAGTGATGTAAATGACGAGCGTAACTGAGAGACGTGTGGACGAGTGTAGTGATGTAAATGACGAGCTAACTGAGAGACGTGTGGACGAGTGTAGTGATGTAAATGACGAGCTAACTGAGAGACGTGTGGACGAGTGTAGTGATGTAACTGACGAGCGTAACTGAGAGACGTGTGGACGAGTGTAGTGATGTAACTGACGAGCGTAAGTGAGATACGAATGAACGAGTAGCGATGTAACTGACGAGCGTAACTGAGAGACGTGTGGACGTGTGTAGTGATGTAACTGACGAGCGTAAGTGAGATACGAATGAACGAGTAGCGATGTAACTGACGAGCGTAACTGAGAGACGTGTGGATCGACGAGTGTAGCGATGTAGAGGTATGATGCGAGGACAAGGGTGGATATGAGACTGCAGCGGACTGTAATGACATAAGGGGAGTGACAACTCCCAGTGTTGTGTTTGTAACCCAGAATTAAGTAGAGACACGAGAAGTGTATTTATTACGTCACTAAGCGACGTTGAAGAGCCTGCGCTGACAACATCAGGCATATAAATGCCAAAAAGACTATTGCTAAGCGATTACATATTTCTGAACGACAAAGAAAATTAATCAACTTTGCACGATTCTTCCTCGAATTCTTATTATCCTCCATTTGAAACGAGTTCGTATAGTTTCCCATAACATACTGTCAAAGCTATTCTTATGTTTTTTCTTATATATTTTCAAAGCATAGTGAATACGCCGTCCTAATTGAGAAAATGATCAGGTCCTACCGACGCAGAAAGGCTTGCTGATGAGAGCATAAAATAATTGGAGTTCAAATAAGTTCCAAGGAGCGTGTATAGTTATTCGTCATTAGCAAGTTATCCCTCGTCACCTGTCGCTGCCTCGGTGACCATCGCTGGCTGATCGATGCGTGCGGCGCGGCATGGCAGGCCGCCCGCGCCGCGGTCACTCCGGAGCTGATCAGCGTGATAGCGACCGCGCAGAAAGGGGCAGTGACTTCAACCTTCGTGTGATCCTAAGCTAATTTATATTCATGAGCTCCCCTCCCTCTGTTGGTACTGAATTTTCTCTCTTTGGTTGGCGGGGGGAGGAGGGGGAGAAGGGGGCGAGTGGTTCAGATCCGGGAGGATACGTTGCTTAGGTGTATGTTTGGCCATACTAATTCAACGTTTGCATTTTGTATCACAGAAGCTGAATTGATCGTATTCATATTTATAATTGGTTATATTGCACTCTAACTTTATTTAGCATCGTAAGACTGAAATTTCAACGGATTTATCGTTTCATAGTTTCTCGTTCATCAAAAAAGTAATCATAGTGAGAATAGTTAAAGACTTCACATTTGAAGTCGATCTATATTGATATCCAGCGGATTAGTCCTCAGCTGTCAGATCAATTAAAAGATATGCATAAAACCACAAAAAGGTTTTTAAAAATTGGAAAGTGTGCACGATTATCCTTTTCAGTACGTTTTTTCAGAGTTTTTCGTCTGCCGGGTTGCCTCGGTCACATGCAGACACATAATCTGGGAATGTCCACGCTAAATCACGAAGGAGTGATAAATTTACACTGAGTATAAATATATATTTTATGTACACATTTACAATAAATTTATACAAATGCAAAAATTATAAAAATGAAAAACATCACAATTCGTTTTTCATCGAAGAGAAGTTCCAGGAAGTCTCAGCCTGTAAGAGGTGCTACTGGCTATGACATCTCGGAACACTGTATTATAGCTGGATTGTGTTAAAATATAATTTGAGGACGTACAGTTAGACGTAAAATAAAATGCTTACGTTAATATCAAAATAAATTATACAGCTCACGTTTCTTTATAATGAATATTTGTACATGATATATTCGAGAAGTAAAACTGTTGACTTTTGCACACATGTTGCAATGTCAACATAATTGCATTCGTACATCCACTACCGTCCCTTTTCATCATTTCCGTGAAATTAGGAAATTAATAATAAAGAACATCAAATCGAGGTAAATAAAACAGGACAAAACCATTATAAAGCGAGAAAACATGCGGTAGCGAAATGCGTGCTTCTATCCTACACGGTGCTGTAACTTAACACGACTCGTGTGATAGGAAATAGGCCCATTGCTGACGTGCCGCGCTCGTAAGACCAATGAACAAAAAGTGAGCGTAAGTGTGTGCCTCATTAAGAGACAATTTGCCAGGTCACTCGCAACCACTCATTTTCACACAACTCTATTATCATCGGAACTTAACCATGATATGCTGAGCGATAATCCTGGAAAATTTGAAACGTACTGCAAAACTAGAGGAAAAAGTTACACTAAATTCACTGACGCAAGTGAGTTCCGACTTTTTCGATCACCTCGTGAAGATAAAACTATAACAACTAAGTAGCCTCATCAATCTCATAAGAGACAGGACAGCCCGATAAGCCGCGGTTTATCGGCTAATAATTATAAATTCATAATTGCTTCGAAAAATGTACTTGCCAAGTTAATACTATCTATATTCACGATGAGACCAACATTTTTTTGGCGCTTTACGCAACTGCACACAATCTCAACAGTAAACTAAAATTTAAAACCTCAGCGATCGTTTAGAATGATAAACGTTTTAAATATTTAAAGATGCTTTTCATCGAGTCTGACCGAAACAAGCTGTTATCATTAATTAAATGAAGTCATATAATGAAAACGGCACAGGCATTTATTTAACAAATTTAGTCCACTCGCTAAAAAATTTAGTCCAAATATTGACAAAAATCTGTGAATACCGAGCGTATGTCATTTTTGGTTGTACTAACCGACTAGAACTTGTACTTTACGCTCAAGCATTAATATTTATTAAGGATGTTAGTTCATTGGTGTGAACCATTCACTGCCAACGGAATACCCGTGGCCGGCGGCAGCGAACGAGTGAGGCTCTCTATTTTAAGTATCGACGACGTTGCTGGAAGAGGGCCGGATTCGTTGAGGGGTGAGTGCCCACTCCTTGAAACCTCCAATTTATTAATATTTTCACCTATTGAGAGACCCCTCATGTTACTGGTACTGGTAAACGTGAGGCCATTGGTTGACAAAGATTTTTTATTCGGAGTTAAATTGATACTGAGTTTGCCATTTAAGAGTTTGGGCGAAGAGACAGGAGAGTTTGAACTTGATTTAGGTGACTTGGCATTGATGGTCACAGTGTTTGTTTTCATTTTCGTTAGGGCTGGATTTGAACTTGGTTTCCCGGGACCTGATTTGTTAGAAGAACGAACATCAGATGAGCTGGATGCGGTTATTGAAACTCCGGACCTTTTGGTTATTGAAATGGTGTTCGTGGTGGTTGACTTGGTGGTGCTAACAGAGGTGGATGCAGGGGACAACTTGGTGATAGTTACTTCGGGGGTGGGGGAGCACAAGTTGGGAGTGGAAGGAGATGCTGGAGCAGGAGAGCGAGCAGGTCGTGGAGATGGAGCGGTTTGATGCGCTGGTGCGGCGCTGCGAGGAGTTGCAGCGGGCGACACGCTTCCTGCTTCCGCAGGCGATCCCGCGGAAGGTCTGTTGTGTTGTGGTGTGGTCTTGGGAGACGATGCAGCTGTAGCGATTGGTGACGAGGCTCCTGGGAGGACTGGGGATGCTACGGAGGCGTAGGGATTAGGACTTGACATCCCGAGGTACTGTTGAGGAGGAATTGACGCGTAAGGGTTCGGGGAAGGTGGAATAAGTCTCATAATATTCAAATTGGGCAAGGAGGTTTTGGGAGTCGGAGAAAGGTCCATTGGTGGGGTTTCATTATCTTTGTTCTGTTGAAGGAAGGAATTGCTGTTGCTAAACATATTCCCGTACGCTGCCATGTAAGTAGCGATATCAAGCACGGTTTGCTGCTGATTGTTCAATACCCCTGGATTAGCAAAAGAATTAACAGACAACCCAACCAATGCTGGATTGACCGATGACAAAGGATACGATTGATTCACATTTTGTTGCAATTGCGTGGAGACTTGCGCTTGGGCGTTCTGGATGGCTTGCAGAGCTGCAATTTGCGAGGGAAGTGGCGGTCGTGGAGACGTTACCGGCAATCCTCCGCGACGGCCACGTCCACCTCTTGCGCCACGTCCTCGGGAGCCTCTGCCTGCCGACGCCGCTTTGTTGGGATTAGGCGGGCGACCGAGGCGCGGCTTAGTAGGAGCTATGAAAGGTGGCCGTTGGTTGTAGGGGAAGCCTGCAGGGAAAGGAGAGCGAACCAAACCTGAAGTAGAACCAGGTTCAGGAAGAGGTCGTCGTGCATCAGGGGACGATATTCTCGGAAGAGTCATTTGTTTCAAGTTTTCAAACTTAACCTTCGGTTGAGATGATTGTGTAACAAGTTGTTGATACTGCTTTTGACGCAACAGTTTTTGCTGTTGTTGAAGATGTTGAAGCTGATCTTGTGTCTCTTGAATATTTTGTTGTTGCAATTGTTGCAGAATCTTTTGTTGATGCATTTGAGCCAAGTGTTGCTGATGCTGCCGTACATTGTTAACGAGAGCTTCTGCTAAAGCTGCACTGGGATCCGGATTTGTAGGGAGTTTGGATACTGTCGTCGCAACTCCGACATTGGATGACAGTGGGGGATTGTGTAGGATTGCACTAGCAAGACTGGCAGGAGGAATAACTACCGGGCTCTTGATGAGAGCATTTGATTCCGCTTTTGGTGGAGAATTGAAAGTTCTGGACACTTGATTCGAAGGCCCAGTTTGCGCGTCAACATTTCCCCCAACTGCGTTCGCTTTCGCCGCGGCTAAACTTAACTTCGTGATGGTTTTGTTAAGTATGCTCTCCGGCTTAGAAGACACTAATTTATCTTTACCTGCTATGATCTTATTACTTGGGAAGATTTTGGTATTTTGAGCCACTGTTGTACTGCTAGTTTGAATTTCAACACTATTCGCCACGGATGGAGACGAAACACTAATCGCTTTACTCGTAACAGCCGAGGGTGTGATTTCAGAATTATTTTCTGTCTTAACAACTTTATTTATTTGGTTCATGGGAGATTTGACAGATTCGTTCACAGCTTTAGGATCAACCTCTTTCTTGGAATCCTTTCGTTTCTCAGAACATTCCACTACGTTATTGTTATTGAGAGCAATACTATAGGGCGTTAACGTCGGTAGAGGTCGTGGGATGCTAACCATGGGAATTTCTGGAGCTGCTATCAATGTTCCATTCATTTTCTCCGACCTGGGAGAATTTGGAGATAATGTAGGCATAGATTTTTTGGATCTCGCATCGCTGTTCAACAATAATTTGCTGTTTTTGTCTGATTCCAAACCAGGGTCCGAGTCGGAGCCTTCTTGTGAGGAAATGCTTGTTTTTGCTTGCTCTGGAGCTATTATCTTCGATGACTCAGGACGAGGGGATGAAGTAGTCGGTGGAGTCGAATCTTCGTCAGATGGGGATTGAGCACTCTCGTCAATAACCATCCTTCCTTCACCATCATCACGACTACTGTCAAGGCTGTCGATTGTCTGATTATTAACGCTATCGCAGTCCATGGCCTCGTCCACGTCATTGCAATTGCCGTTATCATCGGGTGCAGTCGGAACGGTCGCTTTAGCATCGTTATCTGATTTATTCTTGCTGTTGCATGATTCTCGAGTTTCGTTAGTCTCATTAGACTTGGGTGTTTTAGCCAGATGATCTTCAGCTTGAGATACAGAGGTCGTAAGCTGTATTGTTTCTGTTCTGATTTTCTTGTGAGGTGAGCCATTCTCACTTTCTGAATGGGTTGCATTTTCCATTTCTTTGCGTTTCGAGTTATCAGACTCGTTTACCGAACCAACATCACTATCCGCCACGACAAGTTCTGTGGGCGTATGACTTAGTTTTTCATCTCCTGATTTCGGGGATGATCGTAAATTGTCTTTGTTCGGAGAAGAGTGACCAGATTTTTGTGGGGAAAGTTTCTCTTTATTTTCGGGCTGAAGTTGTTGCTCTGTTCTCGGTTTATAGTTTATGTTTGGCTTAACTCGTTTTCTGGAAGGCACAGTAGGGGGAGCAACAACCGTGTACAGAAACTTGAGCGGAGCATCCTCATTCCATTTATACATGTACACGACGTCCAGTAAAGTCAGATCAGAACACAGGCAGTCCCCAGCATGCATGATGTCAACCTGCAAAGAGCAAGTCAGGAATTCTCTTTAAACGTCATTAGAAGAGCAAATTAGAAGCATTTCACCTAATGTTATCGATAAACCCTGCGACGTTACTTCATTTATTTATTCAACATATCGGTCATTTGGAAATTGAAATCAAGCGACAGGTTAATTTTCGAAAACATTGATGTTTTAAAAATATGTGTGCATCTTCTAAAAAAAGTCTATAAAATATTCTTCCATTACCTGATGATGAATACTAAGGTTGTACTTCAATCGAATAAACTTCGCCAACAAACGTATTGTGCTCGAAGCTGGACACTTCAAGAACCGACGGTGAGAAGTCTGATGGCGAAAAAAAAAGAAAAAAGTTATTTGAGAGGCAAAAGACTTAGTACAGTAAAACTACTGAGTTCTCAACCGTTTTAACAATATTTTATAGAAACAGCTACTAATAGCTCTTTAGTTATAGAATAACTGACCTTAGCTTCTTCTTCGTGTCGTTGGCGCTCCAACTCCATCTCTAAATCATTTGACGACACTTCATCTTCAGTTCCTTTTTGTTTTTGTCCCACCGTTTTATTCTCGGAAGAGGAACCGTTGGAACGGTGCACAATTTTCTCCTTGGCTTCGTCTTTGCCATTAGTGAGCGATGTGAGGGGAGATGAGGGGAGCGCTGCTGAGAGCTTGAGGGACGTAGCGTCTCGTGTGGCGTAGTGAGCTCGTATAGGCCGCAGACCCAAAACATGCGCGTGGGCGTGCGCCGGTGGCAAGTATTCTAGCGATAGCGATATCTGGTCATCCACGTGGAAGAAGTGACGCTTCTCCCTTAATGATTGCTCCGTTTTGTCTCCAACTTTAAGGAAAAAGAAAAAAATACATTTAATATCCATGTAAAATACATACAGAAAAAAATATTGAACACATTTCTGCTTCTATATACGCAGTTGGCAAAAAAACGTAACATAAATGTATGTACGTGTGTATTTATGTATGCTTACCAGCATGAGGGTTGTTCGCATAAAAAGAGGCCCTTCTGTCCATTTCTGCCTCGAAGAGCCCAGGCACGAGTTTGTAGACAACATCTTGAAGGGTTCTGTCTTCGCGCAGCGACAACAGGGGTCGCGTTTTGTGCACCTGAAATAGAAACACAATATCTTCTGAAATACTTAATACACCTAAAATTCCAGGGCATTCTCGTTATTTTAACTGCCTTTCAAAGTCTTTTGCTGCAGAAAACTTGTATAATCTAGTTGCGTGTCACAGTTTTTCAACTGCAATGTACCGGTATGACAAAAGCCGAAATCGATTGTAAGTAAATACCGCCCTCATTTATAAATATCGCAGTGATAACCAAAAAACGTGAACAGCATTGGACAAACGGGTCCAACCGTCCGGCTATTGACAGTAAATCGTGTCAATAGTCTTGAGAACAAAAAAGCGTCGTTGACAGCTGGTGTATCAGTAGACAAATGATCAAATTTATACGTACGTTTATGACAACCTGTGCAGCCAAGACATCAAGTCATAAAAAATCGGGTGGTATTTTACGCAAGTTATTACCTGAACATCGCAGATGGGGCAGAAGACCGATGAATGGAAGTATCTGACGATGCAAGACTTGCAGAAGCTGTGTAGGCATTCGATTATTGTGGTTGCATCGATGTAATATCCTTTGCACAGCACGCAAATAAGATGCGGGTTCAGTTCCGTGAGAGGAATACGACGTAAGGGCTTTGCGGCCATGTTTATTTATTTCAAATAATTCCAGTGTTGATCATAAATAATTCCCAGAACCCTATAGCTCTGTCATTATTAGCCAGGGATGTTCCTTTGCAGCAGAAATCGCGCAGCAGCGATCTGAAGGGAACAAAATACGAATTAAGTTAATAAAAGATTGGATACTTTTATCCAATGTTGTCACTATTGAACCATCTAATGAACCGCTTTGCGTTTCTTGGCGGGTTGGCAATTAAGATTATGGGCATAAAATTGTACTTCAGCGGCTGATAGAATGAGCGAATCGAATCACTAGTTTACAATTGGATAATCTTCTAACTTCTAAGGAAAAATAACCAGGAAAGATTTCTTCCAAAAAAGTCAATCACGGCACACTGCTGCATTGGGTATTTCTGGAAACCTAGCTACGGAGAAAGAGAGAACGACCGCTTGCATCCAAGAACAGCGTTTATATGTTTATAATATGCAAATAACCCTGCAGCGGGTCAGGATGCTGATGTGATATCGATGCAAACGTCGGTAGGACAATGGCTTTAGAAAATCTTATGCAATAATTGAACGATTTAATTTAAGGGAGTAACGAATGTGGTTCACCAATAACGGGTTAAATTAAAAGATTGAAATATCCGCGGCAGCTCACTATTTATCTTTTTGGATCGTGATTAATGCCCATCATTCACGCTAACCCATCGCAAATTTTAAATGAAATTGAATAATTATACAAATTACCGTAACTCGACATACGCTAGTTCTTTACGATCCGTGGAGCAAATTGTCCTGCAAAATTTGGACGAAATTTCCGCGAAGATAACGTTTTTATACATAGCGCGAGTGGAAGTTATATTTGTTTATTAAGAGAATTTGAATGCGATGTCCTTGCTAGAAAGGTAACAGAACGCAACGAAAAAAATTACATTAGTGGGCCGAAATCATAGTGGACCGAAATCTGACTAAATGTCATGAAATGAAACTCCTAATTTTCATTTCTCAACAGACAGCTGTGACATGCATGTGGCTAGTGAGGATATTTTAATTGTTTTCTACCATTTCTACACTGGTCGCAAGGTTCCTTCATTAGAGTTACAGTGATGGGAAGATAGAAGACTCATGCAGTTAGCACTGGGCCACTGCAGCCCAGTAGGCGAATAAAAATTGAAAATAATATAAAATATTGGAAAATAGGCGAATAATTGATGCGCTTAGATGACAACTCGATTAATTATTAACACACTGACAGCATATTAATTGATATCCCCATATAATCGCTTGCTGTTTCAACTTTCAATGCCAGTAGTTATAGACGATATGAACAAGTTCATCGATTCAAACAATAAGACTTTTCACGAGCCATCGGAGTAACCAAATCACCAAGAAGGAAGCAAGAAATGTGTTATATATATGAGTACCAGACTCAAGAGCATTACAGAGAGCAGGCAGGGCTAAAATCATGCCGTAGGAGTTACTATAATTGCTCAGTATTGCTTGGTCCTCCGTTCCTGCTTGGTGCTCATGTTCCAACGAGTAAAGGTCCCTAATGCACTTCTTCTATAGTAATATGACATATGTACCGCTTCACATATCTTGAATTCCGCCTTGCAGCCCCGTTGGCAGCCGGCTAGTAAAGTGGTGAATTCCAGACGGCCATGTGCGCTTCATGTAAATCATCTGAATTGGAGAAAAAATGCGGAAGGAAAAAGTCGCATGAATGGATGGCGAGACACAGGAGCAAATAGCTGAGCGTTTGGTGCAGGCATTGAAAGGTGAGACTAGCGATAGAAAGGTAACCCCATAGAGAGGAGGGTGGGGGATGGCCGGAGCCTCATCCGCACAATGCGGTGTTGAGGGCGGAGGGGAGGACGACTTTGGCCTGAGAACATGTGATCGCGTTTTTCTGCCTGTACGCCTGGACCTTCGGGAACGTTTATGTGTACGTGCATGTGCGTGTGGCCCATGAGCGCACGTCGTTCTGGTCGTGAGGAAAGCTACGATCGACATAGCACTGTTTGGCTCTCACACGTTTCCTTACTTTACGTATTTCCTGGAGCAATACGAAATGTCCCAAGGCAATACGTGAAGATAAGATAAATTTGATGATTCTGATATTAGGTATTTATTTATTTTCTTCTATGTTGTAAGTTTTACTACGTAGACTACCACGTCACGCTTGTAATATGCTGGCGTAAGCACAGCTTTCTTTGGAATTGCTAGCGACTTCGCAACCTTCATTGAAACTTGAAAGCTGGGAGCGGCGATCTTGAGTTGAAGTTATTGGTGAAATTAGAGCAACCGTAACTCATGTAGTAAAACTGTTCTTGTCATGCAATTCATGTCACAAAAATTGTGTTTGGTACTTGTTGATCAGAAACGTAGTTTTTAATAATAAGTATGGAGTTTTTAATAGCTATGCAGTGTGACATTAAAGGCAATAAGCAAGGTGTGGAAGGGCAGAGAGGTGTAAGAGATAGAGCAGAGCACCAGACCAGGGTGGGTGGCAGGAGTGAGCTTCACACGTCAACTCTCCCCCACCGGCGCAGCGGGAGGCCTACAGAGCTGCTAGTCGGTAGCACCGTTCAACGGGAGCAGCCGCCGCTAGTGCTCCCGGCCACACACTATCGTCGTGCTGCTGCTGTCACTTGCCGGCACCACTTATTTACGACGAAACTTGCCTAATAGGTGCAATGCTCACTTAATAATGGATTACCAAAACTCCACAAGTGTCACTCAAGTGGTCGTGACTCGTGATCTCGTGGATTCATTATTCATGAGAGATTGGGCTATCTACAAGTCTCGCATGTTAAATTAAATAATGACTTCAGCATAATATTAGAGTATAATTAAACATTGTAAATTTTTATTCGCCACTATCACTTCACTTGATAATCTTACGGATCGCTGCGAAGGAGGTTTCTTCTGTGCCGCTATTCATGAAGCTCAACAGATGTTGATCGCGGAAACGGTCTGAAAGGTCGTTGGTCGCCATTTTCTTTTGCCAACAGCATAGTGAAACCTTACAATCTTCCTAATAATTCACAAACAAATGCTCACTAGAGAATGACATTAAACCTGTAATCTATGTAGATTGGTATATGACATCCTATATAGTTGCTTCTCACCTGAGAAATATATTAGCGGTGAAGAAGATTCTCAGCTAAATCCAACGCAAGTTCACTCTATCACGGCTGGTAGAAGACTGACACGCTAGAAACTGGGGACTGGGAACTGATATCAGGAGCTCTCAAGTCTAGAATTTTATGCCTGGTAATCAGAATGTCCTTCATTATTCGATTAAAAATAATATTACAGTAATAACTGTATTTCGATGGAATTTGTTTATTACTTGCTTGATATAAGGAACTTTAACCTAGGAACTAAATGGTAATTTAATCACTAGTTGGCACCTATAGAGTCCACATGTAGAGGTCTTTCAGAACTCATGTCCGCAAGTTAAAACTTGAATTTTTCGCGAAACAAAATATCAAGTACTATTGAGTGCGAATATAGATATTTGATTGTTATATATGAGTTTTTTTCAATATATTGTTTTTATTTTTAATGTGTACACCTATATATTCGTGGTGTTCCTTCTAGCGAGGTCCTGCCCCCTTTTTGTGGCCGGCTTGTTCAAAATTATATTGCGTATTTAAAGTAACACTAATGAATATCCTAAACTACATATATGCAAGTCATGCGTGCTGGCGTGCAAGATTAGTCATTCAATACATGTAAGTATATGACATAAATTCTTCTGTTAAGTTCATGATTGGTGTTCACGCAACTGCGCTTGAGTTGCCAAGTCGCATTTATTGGGCAATACATTATCAGATTAAAGTGCAATTCTATTTTAAAATGTATTTTCTTTCTTCGCGTGCCTTCAGATAACCTAATAACGAAGTTGTACTTTACCTGATCAAGCTCTGTTTAGCTATCACTGCTCGTACATGAAACATTCTATCGGTACCGTTTCATTTCAAAGGTAGAAAGTTGGCAGCTCTGGCACATTTTGGCGCCGCTGGTTTAATCTTCTCGTGAGTTGGTGTGTCGTGCTCTTCATATTTCCTGCATAAATGATTAGATTATTTATATTCCGTTCTATGCCGAAAAACATTGTGGCGCCAACGACCTGTTTTACACAATGATTACTAGAGTAAATGCTTGCAAGAATTCGTGCGTGTTGGTACTGCTACACCACCGCGAATTGGGGGTTGTGTGTAAGCGCATTTCGTGCGTGTGTTTGTGTGTCAATCAACGACGCTTTTACTGCCTTTTTGTGTGCGCTTGCCTCAAGTCTGCCTACCTTCTTCGCCTCTCTCTCTCTCTCTCTCTCCTGGTTTGTCAAGCATTGATAACCGTCTGATGGATTGCCCCATGACTTCTAAGTACTCTCAGGCTGCGGTTTTTTTTTTCAAGAATTTCCTATTCTGAATATGAAACAGCATTTATTCTTTGTGGTTAAGTAACGCTTCATATTTCACTGATGGGACCATACGACGAAGACAAAAATGTTTGGATTTGAAATTCAGACGGTATTAACTAAGCTAGTGCGACAGACAGTTGCTGAACAGGCTAGTGAAAATAATTGTTAATTGCTGACTTGGGCAGCGGAGATAGCGAGTTGAGAGTTGGTCGCGGCACGGCGCACCGCGCGTCGCTGCGTCGTGACGCGCGCCGCGTTGGACGCTAGGTTTGGTTTACTGGGGGCTTTTTTGTGTTCGCTGCTGCTCTAGAGACGAGTTAAGCAATCCTTATATTCAGGGCCGTCAAAAATTCAAGAAGCTGACGAGATAAAACGACTACTTAAATGTGTTCAATCGAATATTAAGTTATAATTCGAAACTTTCTACTCACGTTGGCTATCACGCTGCTGGTGCAGGGCTATCATGCTGCTCGATCTCCAGCTCTCCGGTGACCGCTTCAAGCCCCCACTTGTGGGCCGCGGTATGTGCTTCCCGTCGGTGTTTACTCTCCCCCACTGCACCCCCAACCACGCCACCCCTCCCTCTGCTGGGCGGCCGAGGCTGTACGTGTACACAACAATCGTCTTGTGCTGCGGGTGCTGAAGGTGTACAATGTACACTGTAACACGTACAGCCCGTCTCAGCTGTCGACCAGCTTTTCAGAGCAGCTGATTAAGTGAAGGCGCCCTTTTCTGACACGGCCATTGAGGCGGCACATGTGTCCCGTCTACCCGTACCGACTCATTTTTAAAGAAAAACTCTCTTAAACTTCCCTTTCTTCCAAGAAATAATCCTCTCTTGACGCACGTTTTGATTAATGTGTAAATTGAATTATTTTGTGTGTGGTAACCTGAATTATATTATGCAGAAAATGAAACCAAGTTTCAAATTTGCAATGTAACTTCCAATCTGTGGAGCTTGATGTTGGCATTAATGTATTAAACATGGAGGGAAAATAGAGTAAATTTTTTTAACCCATTGAAAGAAGTCGTAAAAATGTATGAGCATTGTGTGCAGAGTGAAAAGAACATGAAAAATGTAGGTACATTGTTAATTGGGAGGAGGAGCGGGTGTTGTATGAAAATGTCTGTAAGAAGATCGGCCAACGCTTCAAAAATGGACGAAAATTTCAAAGACGTTAATTGTTCATCCATTGCTTTAAAAATGTATATAAAACTCTTTGAAAGTCATTCAATTTTTTCAAATTTAGAGAAAATACATTCATAATGGAGATCTAGTGGAGATAATGTGACGCGCGGAGAGAGCTAAAACTACATAAGTTAGGTGCATACAGATTGAGTGAAGATAATGTAACGAAGGAGAGATTTAAATGTTACGCGACGAATGAGATCATGCAAGCGACAACAAATGACTGCGAAGCATATGGATATAAATATGTCGATGGTAGGAATCTCTGCATGCATTGAACACTGATCGAATAAGGGACACGCGCTCTAAAATATATATTATTATGCAGGATATATAGCTGGATAACTCGACGCAGTTCGGTTCGTATACTCTCACCGCTGAAATAAAATTAGTTACAAATTAATCGACATTTAAAATCCTATAATTTAACCGAGAAAAAGAGAAGTGATTCAACGCCCATTTCGAAATAAGGAATAAATTGACATTTTTCAGCTAAATTAGATGTAGATTGTACTAAATTCTATAAATTCTATATGAAAATAGACTCGAATTAAATCTTGATCGAGTCTTGGTTTTTGCAATGTTAAATTAGTCTCTATATACTGTATGATGTATCGTGGATATACGTACGTGAGCGAATATAGCTCCTTCATATTTTACCAGCGCCAGGCTTACAACACAAACTACATTTAATCTATTATATATCGGGTCTGTAAGTAAATGTGTTTGAAAAATTAAGAGAGATATAGCTACAATTAAGAAGTGGATATTGAAACAAAAATTTTTAATTTCAGATGGTGAAAGTTATATTCATGCATATATTATTCATGTTTACATGCCATCTCAAAACGGTTGTTATATATATAATGTTATATAAATGGAAGTTAATGAGCTTGGAAGGGTTGTTCGCTAATTAACGCTTGTTTAGCTTCAATCAAGTTAATTATTATCGTTCTTGGGAAAACAGGATTATAGCTAGGAAGAGCGATATTTTCAAATCTCAATGATCATTTGTCCATAGCAACGCCGAGCTAAGCTGTTCCTTTTATATTTGTAAGTGTTTAGTGTTGTGTTATAGCCTTCTCACTAAAAGCCGAGTTTTACGTTTTCGTAAATGAATTTGAAGTAATTATTTTACGGTACTTCACAATATTATATAGCTTGAAAAAAGGCTGCCAGCACAAATGTACAAAAAAAGAATTATGTTACGCAAGCTAATTAAATTGATCGCCATGAGTTCATAAGATTTGCTCTGCCATGCAGCGCGGTGTCCTGCAGTGTTGCGGTTGTTTCCTATAAAGACATATAATTTGTTCTGTGAAGATCGAGCCTCCATGCAATTACGGTCCTCGAGCTATTAGATGTCATCCTGCTTTATGTGTATATATATATGGACTTTTTTGAAGTAGTGACTGTGTTGATTTGTGTTTTAATAAATGATGATGAAGTATTGTTCTTAAAATCGAAAGGATTTGAAATTAAAATGAAAAGAAATATGTGCTGTTAGGTGCACGTTGTAATCGGTGAAAAGTGTTGGCTGCTCAAATGTATGAGAGTAAATTTGCTCTTTTATAGATAGTTAAAAAACGGTGAGCTATTTCCAATAATCGACGTCAAATGGTCGCGTTCTGCCATTTTATGAGTATGTCATATTAATTGCTTGTGATACTCCTTTAAATTTCAACTGTTTTTTATTGTCATAAGTTTTACTGAATGAAACGCAACTTGAGTTTTTTGAAATATACGTAATAGAGTCCGAATTTATTTAAATTACTTTAAAATAATTGAAAGTAATATGATGCAGTCAAGGCGAACTGGAATACGGGATTCGTGTCCATATATGATGTGTCGTGGAGCTGCGACAGGCGGAAAGACGTTATTATTAACTGCGGCCGCCGCTTGCAGCTGCGGGCGCTTGTGCAGATCGCGCGGGACCAGGAATATATGGCAGGATTATAATCCGTTGGGAACAATGTGTGAAAATCGAGGTATTTCTTTGCATTTTCTTGAATTAAGCATCTACTGGAACGAAAATGATAATTTATAGGCACGTTTAAAAGAATTTTAAAAACTGCAATTCGCCGAAATTCTCACGAGTTTTTTTTTTGGGGGGGGTCGAGTTGTGAAAGGAAATATCCCGAGTATTTTTGAGTATTGTGGTGTGCTTCATTCTCCAATCTGCTCTCCGCACGTTTCATCCAAAAATTGCAGTTATATATATACCGAGTGGGGTAAATGCTCTTCACTCTAACGTCCAAGTATTCTAATATCTTATATACGCCGCAGTTTTAGCAGGACACATGCGGTCATCAAGCGTCAAATTCTTCGCCGCGTTAAAAGCCGTCGCGTGTGTGAACAGCAGTGCACATTTCGTATGTCCGCCAAGTGCGGCGGTATATATACCGTCGAACGCCGGCGGTATTTACTGCCCTGTGTGAGAGGGGCCTTTACTGGTGTAGCCTTGACTTTCTCAATTCTTTGAATTTTGGTTCATATAAAGATGGTTTTCGGTTTGTCAAATTTCGTTTTTTATTGGATTTTTTTTCTGGTTAAATTCATTTATTCATCGATGGGA